CCACCCCCACCACCCCAGCAGCCCTTGCCCCCACTGCCCTCCCTGGAGCCAGCGCCCCCCAGCCTAGGGGACACAGCAGAGCCAGCAGCCCATGCAGGACCCAGCACAGTGACTGGCCCCAAGACTGAGAATGTGGCCACTTTGTCCGTGAGCTCCCTAGAGGTAAGGGTGACCTGGGGACCCTGCGGTGGGGGCAGATGGACACTCTAAAATGAGCGATACAGGGAGTTGGGGCACGCTGCAGATCAGGGTTTCCCAGGTGTTTGGCAGCCAGGGGCAGTCCTGCTGGGGAGGCACCCAGTGTCCAGCCTCAGGCAGGGAGACAGTCTAGGCGGCTAGGGTTAGCCCTTGCCTGCACCCTGGGAAGAGGGGACTGTGGCCCGGGACCAAGGCTGCTTGCTCTGTGCCTGGCAGCATTTGTCCTCAGCAGGCACCTTGACATGAGAGCTTCCTGAAGTCTGGGCTGAGAGTGTCTCTCATCTCATGTTTCCCATTCAGGCCTTCAGGGGTGGTTTCAGTTCATTTGGAAGGGCCCAGAACCCCAGTGTGGCCCATTTTGTGTTTAGGCTTAGGTCAGTCTGTAGCTCATGTTGGCCTGGGCCTCAGCTTGCAGTAGAAAGAGTTGGGGTGTGTAGGTCCATTAGGATGCCCCAACCCTCCCAAAGACACTGTCCCCTGGCTCTCAGATCTGGGGATACCACCCATGCAGCTCTCATCCTGGGCTCACTAGTGAGATGCCCAGCCACATGGCTCTGAGTTCTGTCTGTCTGACCCTAGCCCCAGCACTGACACCTGACACATTGTATAGGTGGGGCTGTATAGTTGGCCTCAGGCCCCTGGCAGCGGGGCTTTGGCAGAAGGCATAGCCCCTAACCCCATCCTTAGCCTCCAACTGGGCCACAGAATCTCCAGGGAAAGGGCAGTCAAACCAGACAGGCACCAGTGTACAACCTAGGCGCATGCATCTGCTCTGGTCTGGACTGAGGGTACATGGGGAGGGCTCTGGGCTCCTTTCCTCTAGAGCAAGGGGCCTGGATAGCTTTCTGGAATCTAACAATGAGCACAAACCCCTTCTTCCCGCAGAGGCGGAAGTCACGGTATGCAGAACTGGACTTTGAGGTGGGTGCTGGTGTCCCCTCTCACTAGACACTCCAATCCCCCTTTGACCAGACAGGGAAGGGGAGGGGGCGTGTGGCCAGCCCCTGGAGCCCTTTTCCGGGATCTGGCCCACACGAAGGCAGAGAGGGCTGGTGCCCTCCTAGCTCAGGGTGTGCTGCCCCATGCAGAAAATCATGCACACACGGAAGCGGCACCAGGACATGTTCCAGGACCTGAACCGCAAGCTGCAGCACGCAGCTGAGAAGGACAAGGAGGCGATGGGCCCCGATTGCAAGGTCTGGGACAGGGTGGGAGGGTCCCTTGCCTGCTCCCCATCCCCACACCACCTCTTCATTCTTTCACTGGCCTGGCAGGCATGCCGGGCCCTGGAGGAGCAGGGACAGGTGGAGATGGTGGCTACCATTGGCACCAGGCTTTTCCCTGCAGGCCTGACTTGATCTGGGGCCAGCATGAGGGTTGCTTGTGGGGACCCTTCCCCTTCTCTTGATTGGGATCTGCCCCTCTTCTCTTGGTACTTGTCCTCTTCGCTCCTCTCACCCCTGCCATCCCTACACGGCTGATCTCAGCAGCCTGAGAAGCAGCAGACGCCCAACAAACGGCCATGGGAGAGTCTTCGCAAGGCCCATGGCACACCTGCCTGGGTGAAGAAGGAGCTGGAGCCGCTGCCCCCGTCGCCACTGGAGCTACGGAGCGTGGAATGGGAGAAGGCAGGCGCCACCATCCCGCTGGTGGGCCAGGACATCATCGACCTCCAGACTGAGGTCTGAGTGGGCGGGCGGCGGCCCTGTGGTGGGCCAGGAGGAGGGATGCTGCTCTGCCCGCTCCGGCCGCAGGACGGGCACAGACACGCTCGCGGTGGTGGCGGG